TGGACTGTCCACAGACAAGGGCTACTTGTATTGCGTTTGTCAACTTGTTTTTATTTTGAATTTCATTTATCACTGAGCTGTAAGTGAACGCCAATTTTCTTTTCAATCTGAGGCACAGTACAAGAGGTTATCCAATAATCAGCATTGAAACCATCGTTTGAATAGCATAACAACAGTGCTGATAGTCACCTACATAAATAACGCACAAACATAAAAATGTGAACAAACGAGAAACTGCATTGGACTGGTCTAATATGCATTAAATTGGAATGAATACAAACCTTTCAGACTTTCAATTAGTCAGTATGTTTCAGGTATTTATAGATCAGTATAATAAGAGAATTTGAAATACGAATATGCATATAGATAGACGGACAACAAGCCAAAGGAATAATAAAGGGATTTACACGTACGGCATCGGTCAATTCACAAAACTGAACACAAGCTAACCGACAGAACCGTGACAATGTATTTGACAAACACATGGTTAGTCAGATGATATATTCCAAAGTAAATTTACAGCTATGTCCACCTAACATACCTGTAATGAATACCGTACAAAATCCTACTTGTGGTCCATTAACACAGTTCACATAGCTAACACAAACGTATTTTTTCTTCCAAGGTGAGTAGCAATTTATGCAGATATTGACAGCGAAGAAGGTACCTGAAGAAATAGTGCACATCCTGCAATCAGCACACGCCCCGACTAATTACCATATGGGGGGAAAGAAATTCTTATCTTTTATATTTCCAACTGCTTCCCTAAGTCAAACCACTCTTAACCTCTTTACAGTTCAAATGGCATACCGTCAACCCTCACCCTCCGCCTCCGGCAACTAATGACTCTTCTCCTCACACACTTCCGTATGGTACTTGATATTCCGAATTTTGAGAGCTTCAATGAAAATACAATGCTAAAATCCAGGAATTTCTTATGGACAGATAAACCGACATCTTAGACTGTTGCCAAATCCTACTCCGCAATTAGCAGGCTGGTTAAGTAATAATGCCCATTCTGAGACCCATGTTGCACGGGAGTTTCTAGATTACATGATTTTACACAACTTAGTGACTTAGCCTGAATCATTTTTTGAAGTAACGTGACTAATATGCTAGTTAGACTGGTGGTTTGATAACCGGACATGATCTGTCTCTTTCAGTACTTTAACACAGGGCATTCTTCAAGTGACTCAGGAGTTGAGTGTTGAAAAGTGACACGATGAAACTCACCGTGCGCGGCTCGGAAAGTGTCCCCTCGGGTTGACAACAATTGTAAATGTAACCCGATGACTTGCCAAGTTTAATGTTGATGAGGAGCTCAGTCACAAACACCGGTCCCAATGCTGGTGCTTCAGTGGTGTACGATCCAATGTGGGCTGTGGTGTATTTTCTCCATAGTCACTTACTCGTTTTGAAGATGGCACAGGTATTCAGTGTTTGACAACGCTTTTACCAGCAACACCTAATATAACTTGTACCCACCGAGAGAAATCAAAAGACAGAATCGAGGAGATCGAAAGAGTGTATTTGGCGATTGCCAGTATATCGGGATTCTCTGATCTAATCTGGCTAGCAATTGCGTTAGATGTTGAGCACAGCGTTACCACACGTGGTCTGGTGCGGATGCATGACCGAGCGCCTTCAGCCAGATCAGTCCACTAAAACATATGGTCGGCATCCAATGTCGAAAACTTACAGAGCTATTTAGTTTAGGGATTTATTTACCGCTACAGTGTCAAGATTGTATTGTACAACTAGCTACCTCACATGTGCCACTACTATGTGCCTCTGATTTACTCGATTGTTCGCGAATGCAATCTCTCCAACCCAACTAGTTTAGCTGACTTTTACTACGTATCAATTGTCAGCACAATTAAATCACTGCTAATGTTTGTGGTTACCTCATTCTTACCTCCGCTTAGCGTGATGTTTTCACACTCGCTTAGCCGAGGCAAATTACCGGAAAACTGGAAGTTGGCTCACATCACACCAATTTTCAAAAGTGGTCGACGCAATGAACCTTCAAGTTATCGGCCGGTGGCTCTTCTGTCATTACCTTCAAAACTCATGGAGTCCCTGATATGCGACGGTTTAAATGACTATCTACTGTTCTTAAATTTCTTCTCACCCCAACAGCATGGTTTCAGGAAGGGTTACTCTTGTGTAACCAACCTGCTGACTGCGGTGGACAAATGGACAAGCATCCTCGAATGTAAGGGAAAGGTTGACGTCATTTACCTTGATTTCTCAAAAGCTTTTGATAAGGTTAACCACTTGCGTCTTATCAACAAGCTCAAACGACTAGGTGTAGAATTATGGTCTACCATTATATTAGTACTGCTCTAATAATAGACCTAATCCCAAAATTGTAGATTCGTCATGATATAACTGCCTAATCTATAAGATCTTACGTGGAAGTCACACCATCGACTACACCAACTCACTGTATCGTATCAATTACCAATACATGATGTAGAACAAGGTTAGGCTAGAGAAAGAACAATATATTTAATATGAATAGAAGATATAAGGTAACATTTAGCAGAGACCACGCCTGCATGGCCGAGCCATGCCACTCGATCAACTCCAGTCCATTCAATTCATTCTTCGCGCCTTCTCCATCGTTAGGTATTTATCCGCGTTAAATATTGAATATCTACTTTCTGAGTAGTCTCGTGTTCAGCTTTGTGGATTGTTTAATGCCACAATTTTCAAAGGTGGTCGACGCAATGAACCTTCAAGTTATCGGCCGGTGGCTCTTCTGTCATTACCTTCAAAACTCATGGAGTCCCTGATATGCGACGGTTTAAATGACTATCTACTGTTCTTAAATTTCTTCTCACCCCAACAGCATGGTTTCAGGAAGGGTTACTCTTGTGTAACCAACCTGCTGACTGCGGTGGACAAATGGACAAGCATCCTCGAATGTAAGGGAAAGGTTGACGTCATTTACCTTGATTTCTCAAAAGCTTTTGATAAGGTTAACCACTTGCGTCTTATCAACAAGCTCAAACGACTAGGTGTAGAATTATGGTCTACCATTATATTAGTACTGCTCTAATAATAGACCTAATCCCAAAATTGTAGATTCGTCATGATATAACTGCCTAATCTATAAGATCTTACGTGGAAGTCACACCATCGACTACACCAACTCACTGTATCGTATCAATTACCAATACATGATGTAGAACAAGGTTAGGCTAGAGAAAGAACAATATATTTAATATGAATAGAAGATATAAGGTAACATTTAGCAGAGACCACGCCTGCATGGCCGAGCCATGCCACTCGATCAACTCCAGTCCATTCAATTCATTCTTCGCGCCTTCTCCATCGTTAGGTATTTATCCGCGTTAAATATTGAATATCTACTTTCTGAGTAGTCTCGTGTTCAGCTTTGTGGATTGTTTAATGCCACAATTTTCAAGGTGGTCGACGCAATGAACCTTCAAGTTATCGGCCGGTGGCTCTTCTGTCATTACCTTCAAAACTCATGGAGTCCCTGATATGCGACGGTTTAAATGACTGTCTACTGTTCTTAAATTTCTTCTCACCCCAACAGCATGGTTTCAGGAAGGGTTACTCTTGTATAACCAACCTGCTGACTGCGGTGGACAAATGGACAAGCATCCTCGAATGTAAGGGAAAGGTTGACGTCATTTACCTTGATTTCTCAAAAGCTTTTGATAAGGTTAACCACTTGCGTCTTATCAACAAGCTCAAACGACTAGGTATCAAACCACCTCTAATCGATTGACTTACTTCATACCTAAAAAATCGACACTTTAAGGTTAGGGTTAATTTCACTTTATCTCAGGCTATGGAATGTCCTAGTGGGGTCCCCCAGGGCTCAGTACTAGGGCCTCTTTTATTCTTGATGTACATAAATGATCTTCCTCAACAGGTAACGTCAGACTTATTACTTTTTGCCGACGACGTGAAACTTTGGAGAGAGATACGAAACCAAGACGATACACAGGCACTTCAGGAGGATCTGACGCGACTTCAAAGTTGGGCAGACGATAACGGACTTACCTTTAACACTTCTAAGTGTAAAGTAGTCCATCTGCGACATGTAGCAAACTACAGTTACAACTTAGGAAACTCCTCTCTAGTAGTATCTCAAGTCGAAAAAGATTTAGGAGTCCTGGTGCCCCATGACTTAAAGTCTTACGCTAACTGTGACAAAAATACCTTCCGAGCAAACCTTGCACTGGTAACGTTGAGGCGCATTTTTGGTCAGTTTGACGGACGAACTTTCCACACAATCTTCAATAGTTTCATCCGTCCCCATTTAGAGTACGGAAACATAATACTCCCCCCTCACTCCAAAAGGATAAGGTCACTTTGGAGCGTATCCAACGGCGAGCCACGAAATCAGTTCGAGGACTCAAATCTAAGCCTTACGAAGAACGCCTCCGTTCACTAGACCTTTACCCACTAGAATATAGGCGTCTTAGAGGTGATTTACTAATGGCTTATAGTATTCTTAACACTTCTGGACATCCTCTTAAACACCTACTTAAGCTTAGTTCGAATAATAACCTAAGGGGTAACACCCAGAAACTGGAAACACAACATAGCAAGACGGAATGTAGACACAACTTCTACTCCTTAAGAGTTGTCAAAAGCTGGAATTCGCTGCCGGCCGAGCTAGTCCAAGCGACTTCTCAGGAGTCCTTCAAGAGGCAACTTGACCTATTCTTAAGGACCAAGGACAGCATCGCACTATGATTTACCAATTTCTTTTCCTTTTTTATTGTTAACATACCTAGGTTCCTGCCTGGAGGATTTGGTGATCCCCTGCTACTAGACACGGAAGCCTGTTAAGCGAAAGCTTCTTCTATTCCGTCCACAACCATTTGAACCATTTGAACCATTTGAAGTCTGATTCGTCACAATGAACAATTAGACAATATTTATAATGGCAGCTGTTAGCCCCACTAAATCAATCGCCTTAAAGGAAACACACATGGACAAAACTATGTTCGGACTTCAGGACCTAATTGCTAAGAAACTACTTAACTTTATTCACCTTATTAAAAGCATATTCTTTATTGGACATATAATCCTGCAAGTGGCAAAAATAGTTTGTACGTTGCGATGGCCCAAACATGTCAGCTAAAAGCCTTGCTTCAGGTTACTGCGGCTAAGATGGATATTGAAGATGAACTTCTTGAGCACTACCTGAATCAAGTTGTGAAAGTAGTATGTTCGTCTGACTTGTCAAAAGGTTTGTAGTTGGCTTTTCTAAGTTTGGATATATATATGACTTAAAAATGTATGCACGTACCGCTTATGGTAGATTACTAGTAGAATTAACTCGGATTTTTATCATCGCCCTTATTTTGTTAGTCGTTTGAGCACGTAATTTTTAAACCTCCAGTATTTATGTTTCTTTTTTGGTGTGTATAGTATTAGCCACATAGTCTCGTTCAGGATGTCTTGCTTGGTCCTAGTCGCTTACTTGGCTCTAGACCTTCAGACAGTTTATTGAAAGGCCACATCAGTATACCTTCTTCCCAAGACTTGTGATATGTTAACATACGGGCCTTGACCTTGACGATAAATAGCTGGTTTTCAGGCTAATTTTTGCTACATTACATGTTATGTTCTACTAATGTACACCAAATTATCCTGTTGTGTGATTTCGATCGATTTTAGTGTGTCTCTTCAGTAGAATGTGTCAGTCTGTCCAATTCCTGAACCCCAAAAGCTTGTCAGCACATTTCTGTCCTATGTCTGGGGTTGCCGTATTTCATGCAGTTATTTATGGGATCAAATGTATAAAAGACAAAAAAATATAAACTTTGTGTTAAACGGTTTCATTTAATCTTTAATGTGACTACGACATAATCTGGAGTGGTTGACGTTAACGAGTTACAATCATTAGTAATATGACGGGACCCAATTTCACTATCTTGGAGAAATTTTAGGGTTTTCCCCAAAGTTGAAATAAATATGGTAGTTTTACCCAAATTTCGGCGAAAAACCTCAAAGTATTATAAAATTCTGTTGAAATATTGAGGGAAACTCAAAGTTTTCCCAAACATTTCGGGGATTTTCCCTGATCTGGGGAAAATTTTGGAGTTTTTGTGCCGTTTCCCCGAAATAGAGAGATTGCGAACAGTCAATCGACGGACGACTAGCACCGTGTTTTTGATATTTCTGAAGTGTCTAAATCCTGTTCTGTTAAACTAATACAAAGTTCGCATTAAGTACAAAATATCCATAATTCAACTGTGACTCGATCACTTCTAGTCCGTTTTTATGAAGGTAGCAGGTTTAGTGCAACTGTAGTCCCTACATATTTTAGCCTTAGGGTTCAGTAGAATGCCTCCAGCTGACCACTATCTTCTGTAGAGAATGATAGTATGCAATGATGTAGTTTTAAACAGACCAATAAGCGGAAAATAGTTCGAATGGCTTAGTATCTAGACGACACTCGATACACCGCTTAAGCTTTCAGCGGCTATCGCATTGCAGTATTCAGTCCTTTCTAATGTTGACTAGCTTCTGCCTGTAAAGTCAGTGTGTGTCTAGATCAATAAAAACTCACTATCATCATTGGGTGTGGATTTGTGCCTTATTTATTTATTTGAACACATAAATATTGGTACAAGAGGGCACCAAATATATATGCGCCACACAAACACAATGAGAATGGGAAGGGAGAAGAAAAAAGAACAATAATGACCAGATTAGTTTAAGGTAGTGTAATAATCATAATAATAATGAGGGAGAAGGAAAGGTACAATCAGAAGAAATCTTTCAGTTAGGAAGATACAATCACATTTTTTATGAAGAAATTAAAAGAAGGTTACAGCAGGATCGCCACTGACTTTATTCTGAGCCATATCTGATAACGTCTCTAGCCACTGTGTTGCACCATCTCTCGGACCCGGGCCAGGGAGTCGTGAAGGTCCAACACAAGCCAGTCCTTTGCAGCTTTCTTTCATACCACGGCACCATGTCATATACTGACCACCTCTCTGCTTTCTCCAACCAGTCCCAGAGTCGGCAAATAATGCACGACGTGTAATTCTGTGGGACGACATTCGTAGAACATGTCCAAGCCACCGAAGTCGGTGTTTCAAGATGGTAACACCAATTGAGTTATCATCTCTGTGCCCGAACACACGATGCCGAACCTCTGCATTACTGACATGGTGTTGCCACTGAATGTCAGCAATCCTTCGGAGACAGCGATGATCGAACACAGAGAGTCGTCTAACATCCTCAACTAGAAGAGGCCAGGTTTCACAAGCATAGAGCAAAACTGCTCTCACCGACGCGTTGTAGATCCGACCGTTTGCAGCCAGACTAACATCACGAAGGCACCAAAGATGGCACAGATTGGCATAAGTCGCTCTGGCTTTCACTATACGTGAACCGATCTCATCACTCACGCCACCACCAGCACTTATGCAGCTACCCAGGTACACGAACATCTTGACTACTTCTATCTGCTCACCATCCAAGGTGAGCACAGGATTAGAATCCTTCCAGTCTTGTAGAAGTACTTTGCACTTCGAATGTGCAAAGCACATACCATACCTACGGACACTGATTGTCAACTGATTAAGTGCGGATTGCATGCCTTGGGCATTATCGCACAGTAAGACAATATCGTCCGCATACTCAAGGTCGAGAAGTCTTTCTCCAGGCAACAGATCCACACCATTCATCAGAGCTGTTTTCAGAATGTCATCGATGGCAAAGTTGAAGAGGAATGGTGAGACTGGGCAACCCTGTCTAACCGTACTGTTTGAATGGAACAATGGAGAAAGGTGGTTGTATGCCCTCACTCTACCTGAGGTGTTTGTATATAGGGCCTTTAGGATGTTAATAAACTTCTCAGGCACACCCTTCTTCAATAGACTATCCCAGAGAACAGTCCTATCCAACGAATCGAAGGCAGTCCTGATGTCAAGAAACATAACGATTGTTGGCCTTTGATAAGTATGGCGGTGTTCTAACATTTGACGGAGGGTGAAGATATGATCAATACATCCTCGACCAGAACGAAAACCAGCCTACTCCTCGTGAGTCAATGTTTCTCGGGTTTTGAACAACCTGCGAAGTATGACGGAAGCCAATAGCTTGGACGCAATCGGAAGTAGACTTATCTCCCGATAGTTGTTACAGAAACGACGTGAACCCTTTTTAAAGATAGGGACAACTATCGACTCATTTCATGACGGTACACTCTCCAGCTCCCAGACCTTTATAAACAACGTCGTTAGTTCCTTAGCCAGAAAGTCACCACCATCTTTAAAAATGGCCTGAGGTAAGTCATCTGGGCCTGGTGATTTGTAGCGCTTCAAGAGTTGAAGTCCTCTGCGGATTTCCACCTCATTTGGTGGATCATTCGTCAGGACAATCTGACCGGTGTTGCCGGAGCAACAGGCCAGTTGAACTGATCTTGGAAGAATTCCTCCCATCGTCCAAGACGTCGACGGATGTTAGTGATTGGCATCCCTTCATCCCCACAGATTGTTTCGCTCACACCAGACTTCTTGCTGCCAGTGGCTCGGATGAGTTGGAAGAGCTTCCGGTAGTTACCAGATGCAGCTGCTGCTTCCAGCTCATTAGCACGCTCCGACCACCAGGCTTCTCTATCCTTACGCAAGCTTTCCCGATTTCATTACGTAACAGTCGTCGTTTGTGGTCAAATTCGTTACCCAGAGTAGACCGATGGGCTTGAATGAGTTGTAAGCAGCCTGAAGAAACCCAGCGCTTATAAGCGGGATGTTTCGCAAAGCCGCAAATGACTTACTCGCCATTTTTATGACGTCATGAAGTTGCAACCAATGCTCATCTATACTTTTCGGTGGGATGGTAGCTCGGTTCTATACTTACTAGCAACAGAAGTTGCAACCAACTTGCTAACATCAATCCTTTGGAGGCGGTCACTTTGTTGGCCACTGATAAGTAAGGTAAGATTGGCGCAGACCAGGGCATGATCAGAGTCTAGATAGGTACTCCAAAAGGAGTGGCAGTCTTGTACACAACCGCGCCAGCAGTAGCTGATCGCGATGTGATCAATTTGAGCCCAGGCCTGAGATGCAGAGGGAGGACACCAGATGGCACATCGGCGATGACTGTGCCGGAAGTTAGTGCTAGCCAGAAACAGGTTGTGGTCTGTGCATAGTTGCAGTAGATGGTCCCCGTTATCTGTCCTGCGACCAACGAGTCCCCATCGGCCATCTAAACGACTCTCTTCTATGCCTAGACACCCGGCCTGAGCATTCAAGTCTCCGGCTAGTACTACAATATCTGTCGAACGCACTTTCTGGAGAAGAACAGATAACTGGTGGTAAAACTCATCCTTGATTGCATCCGGGCTGCAATCTGTCGGGGCATAGGCGGAGATGACGAAAAGACATCGTTTCTCACGCCGATTTCTTCTCACTTTGATGGAACTTTCTAATCTAACAGCACATAACCGACTGTTAATGGGGATCTAGTCGACTAGTGCTGCCTCAGCTCTAGCGCTTTGTGCGACACCAACGCCAGCAAGGCCAGACGAAGATGCCACAGGGTCCCCGGATAGACACGCAAAACAAGCTTTTTGAAGCGGCAGATGGAGAGTAAATTTGTAGCACTTCACCAGAGTCTTGAATACGGGTCTCAGATAGACAACAAACATCGATATTAAAACTTTCCAAAGACATAGCCAGCCCTATCTGTTGTCCGACCTGCATAAGTGGGCGAACGTTGAAGGCAGCCAGTTTGAATGGTGCATGTGGTTTCAGGACGACTGCTTCAGTATTCGTATTTGGTGGTAGCATAGAATTTTCAACCAGGCAGTGACTCGAGAACGTTTTTATAGAACCGAGTTTCCACCATAGGGGAGCTGCTGTATATGTCGAAAAATAAGGATACATAAAGTGGGAATAAAAGAGAGTGAATAAATTACGTAGTAAGTAATAACAATAATGTGAATTGTTTGACTGTAAATCGAAGCGAGAATAGTTTTCAGTGAATATCATTATTTTCATCATAATTGTGTGTGGGCTGTGGTACTGACCGGGTGCCCAAACCGAAGCACGTGGTTTGCTTAGGGGGCCACACCCCAAGCCTTTGACCTAAAGGTCTGACCCACAAGGCAGTAGAGCATCGTGAGGAGATGCAGTCTCATGGTAGCCGGTGACCAACCATTGGTTCATATGCCGTTTGTTCCCTCAGGATACTGGAGCCCACGTGCACCATTGGTTTGAGATCCGGTCAAAGCGCCGAACATTCGCTTTTCGTGAACAACACCCGCGCCACGAGAAGGCAGTGAGTAGGACTTTCCTGGCAGGGGCTGTATACGCGTGGCCGTGTGAGAGCATTTCGAGAGGGAGGGTGGGCCTACCCCTCTCGGCCATACCAGGGCATTTGGGGGCGGATTTTCGCCTTGCCGATCAGTATATATCGTAATGCACTCGCATACATTGTCTAATGGTTGCCGACTGCTTAACTAGTTAACTAGAACTTCTCGTGAACCTCCTCGCTACCCTCTACTTTGTGTACCACTTTATTACTTGGTACCATCGGAATATAAAGATATCGATGATAACTAAGGTTGCTTAGGCATCTTAATATTAACCGACTTTTCTCTAGTCTATGTAAGCTCACTACATCCTCTATCCAATTTAGTCCGAAATTTCCGTACTGCACTTTTCATATATTGATGTATAGATACCACATCTCAATTTCCATTTTCCTATCACTTCGTATGTCGAGTGTTTTCTGTCTTGTAATGTGTATTCTCCATTTCATCATTATAATTTCTCTCCTTTAGCACTCACAGAAGAATTCATATTATCTGTCAAATGCTTAATTAACATTTGTTCAGCTGTTCAAGGAACACGTCTTTTATCAACTGTGCTGTCAACTCAAGAAAAACGTGAAGAGTTCACTCGGATCCTTATTACCCTCTCTTTGGATAATTCTAAAAGTCATACTGATTTAGCGTCTCTAATTATTGACTTGATTTCAAATTTGACTAGAGATCCTGTTTGGTTGGGTCATTTCGGTGAACATTTTGATAACAAACATATTAGATCGATCCTCAGCTCAGGTTCTTCTATCCAGAAATTTCTCCCAGTAAGTTAATTTTACTAATTGGGTTTGGTTATTGAAGATAGTACTTAACCTAAGTAGGTTAACATCAGTACGCCACTCCATATGCTCATCAGAACTATTACGAAAGCTGGTCGGTTTATTTCCAAATATGCGTTCCGTCCCTATCAAAATTCTAATAGCTGGCATAATAAAAAACTGCTCATTTGAAGATGGTAATTCGTAATATTTTAACTTATTTTCAAATATGGCTTTCCAGAGCTTCATAGTGAACTTTTCAACAGGGGCGTTGGTTTGCTCGATGCACTTTTAGTTCCACTTTGTGGTCCAGAAGATTGTATTGGCAAAGAAGACCGTGCTATATTGCCTAAATCTGTTCAGACTATAACTGGGAGCTCCCAATTTTCTCGTTTGTTTTCCACTGAGTTGTATCTTACTATTTGCCAAACATTTTTGCAGGTAATCTTTTTTACTTACTCTTTAAGTGTCAATTTAGTTCTGCTCCACCAGTCACGGACGAACATTTCTTCGGTCCAATGGAGTTTATTTTATTTTGCGTGAGTTACACAATTATATAGCAAAAGCCGAAGAACAAACACAATGTCCTAAAACTGATGAAGCAGTTACAAACAAGGAATTATTATTTTGCATCGAACAAGTAGTAGATCAACTCATTTGTGAGGAAAGTGAACGTGATGAGCACTGTGCAAAATCCAGTCTTAGAGAAATAAATATTGACGCAGAAACTAAAGAGAAACTTGACAGAGTGAAAAAAGACTATTTGGAATGCAAGTAATGTCTGATATCTTTAGTGTATTTCATTTTGGCTTTGTAAATGCTCAGTACTCCAATTGCTGTTTCTACTTTTATTTTTCTATACCCCAATCAATTCTAATTAACACTTACGACGATGAATTTCAGTTGTTTAACGTTAAACCTGTGTAAAAACCTTCGTTGATAGCAATCATCCTTTCTTATCACTAAGTGAAATATTAAACCTTATCTGCGAACGCCTTTGTAGACACTGCTCTGTAAAAAACATCGAATTCTAACGTTCTTTATAATCTGAATATATTCGACAGTGTTTTCAATTGTGAGCTAATTTTCCATCAGTAGGTTTTAAAGAGATCCAACGTATGGAATAAAATAAATGAAAAAGTAACGGGAAACTTGATAATCTATACAGCTTAAGCGCGAACTCAATTGAGATAGTTTTCTTCAGTTTCATTCCGAACTTTGCTCAGTTTCAAGGTGTATCATTCTGTTTTAAAGCGTACATAAATGTATTTATTTTAGCAGACATCTGGAACTATGGTAGAAATATAAAGGCCAACTATAAACATTGATTATTCAGTACAGTTTCAGTATGATCATTCAAATGGTAGTATTCAATTTGTAAGTTCTTCCATTATCCCCTCTTTATTACTCTTTGCTTGATATTATACAAGTTGAAGAAAAATCTAATCTTCCAGTCGAGATTAAATCTATAAGTTATAATTATTCCAAAAACAGTTATCTCTGCTCATGTCCATATTTAGTCCTGTCACAGCTAATGTTAAAAGCTGAAAGTAAGAATCACAGTCGTGTTGAAACAGATACAGACTTGGTAATTGAGCAAAAACAACACTAGGGTTCACTTTCACATTATTCGTTTTAGCTATGCATCAGCAGATAAGTCCCACAGGGAATATTCTAAGAGTAATGTGGGTGCACAGTTTGTGTCATCAGTCAGTCAGTAACAACGTAGAACTTCGTACGTACGTACATCAGTTCGAGTTGCCACACCACATAAGCACAGAGATGCAGTTGTCGATTCATAAATAATGGTCAACTCTTTGCCAAGATACAATGTATCGCTTACAGTAAAAATGAACAAATGCTGAGTAAATAATATCATCAATAACCGACTTGAGAAAAAATTCAGTAATAAGTTCATAGCATGAAGCGTTTTGAGATACATATAAACTGTTGGATACTAAAGAATTGGGTTACTATTCCTTTTATTGAACCAGGTTATTACTCAGAAAAACAGAATAAACTATGGGAACAGTGAGCGTATCATCTGAATTCGAATTCGGAATTGATTTATGTGCTCAAGTGGTTTATGTTTGTCTCCCTAACGTCTAGCGTCCGTTACCTTTCGGAGTGTTCGTTGTTAATTTTGTCTATTCAGCAGATTCCCAAAACATTTAAGCACTCCTTTCTAATTAGTTGGAGGTACTGGAAACATTTCAAAAGAAATTTAAACATTTTTATGATTTTGAAATAAATTGCATTGTCATATTAGCAGGAACAGTGGAAGAATAAGAAAGCCTACGCATAACTACAGTATAGTCAACAAGTAAAGGATTGTATAATGTAAACTTCAGCTAGATTTGCAAAGTGAACTAAAATAAGTTAGGAGCTAGATTTTTTAGTCAAGCTATCGTTGTTTATTAGTGCTCTAAGCAGAAAAATAAGCTTCACAATAGATTCGTGTGACTATATACTTAGTCGATTTATGGGATTCGAAATAACGGTATAGAAAATTATCAAACAGTTAATGCACTAAGATAAAATATTTTGAGAAGCTGAACAAATGTATCGGTGTTCCAATACAATATTCGAAAGGACTACTTCGATGCACTCCCGACGTAAAATTTAAATTTTAAAAATCAGTTCTATAAACAAACTGATGGCTTTGCAAAGGGGTCACCACTCGGCCTGTTTCTAGTTGGCTGTTTCATTGCTAATCTCAAAAACATTATAATTAGACCGGTAGTTGATAGCTTCGTTCTATAAAAGACGACATTTTCATTACTTGTGACATAAACATCAATGTCAATGACATCCCGGACTCGTTCAATAACTGTTATCAATCAACTAAGTTCACGGTAGAATGAGTGCCATATTCATATTCCCACCTCTTAGATGCTTCGGTAAAAAGGAGAACTGGCGGTTCTTCACAGAGATCAATACATAGAAAGCCACCATCAAATGGTCAGTACACGAATTATCAAAGTTGCGTCCCACTAAAGCAAAAGAAAAACCTGATCCATTCTCTCAGTTCGAGGGCTAGAGGCATCTGTACAGAAAATACAATCGATGCAGAGCTTGACTACGATAGGCACTAACTAGCAACAGATATACATCTAAATTCATTGGGAAAAATCTTAAGCCAAAACAACGTGGTGTCCACAGCGCCAAAGGAGATTTCGTGAACATTCAGTTTGAAATAGATACTGTGGCAGAAATTCTGAGAAACAAGCTTGCAAAATCTCTGAGGAAAACATTCTATTCGACTGAACTCTGCATTATCTTTCCTAGTCGGTCTATGGTCCGATGTTATGTGAAGGACAAGCTCCCACTTTGGTCCAAATTAATGTGCATTTATCAGTTTACTTGTTCTTGTGGAGCAGGCTATATTGGTCGCACAAAGCGAGCCCTTTCGAAACGCATCTCCGAACATCATCACCCTACCTGGCTTTGCAAAGGATTACAGAAGTCAGTCAAAAGCTCGATCTTGCAGCATCTAGTCTATCCCGGTCGCTCCGCTTCTCCAGAATTATACATGGAAAAGTTGGCTCCATATAAACGCAGATGGAAAACTTGTGTACGGCAGATTCTATTGTTATTCACTAGTTTAAGCCTAACCTTTCCCTACAAAAACAATATGTTCAGTTCCCCACCCTTAACCTCCCTTTCTATCTTCTATGATCTGTCTTTCTCTTTATTTCATTGTTCCTACTCCTTTCCAATTATTTTCAGAACTAGTTAGTAACTACTACAACCTTTTAATTATTCTGTTCTTAATAACTATCAGGTGGGCAATCACTTTTTCACTAGCTGATTATTACAACCTCTCTTCAATATATGATTTCCAAGTCTTAACATACCACTCCAAGTTTCTTAATTAATTAGCACCTTTCTACCTTACCATAGAACACTATTTTTTAGCAAATAAGAATGTATCTTTTTTACAAATCAGTAGTGTGTCAAATATTTGATTAATCACAACTAGGTTACTTGTCCCTCCATGTTTGTTAAGTGTCTTTTTTGTGCAAATGAAGGAACACAGTAGGCAATGAATTTTAAATTCAATTAATTGTAGTCAGTTATACACCCGTTTCCATATAAACCTTACCAAGCTTTCCAATACGGTTGAAATGTTTATCTGATGGTGAATTAGTTCGTCGTTGTAATTTAAGTCTTTGAAAATGTGCTCAACTTATGACCTGCTACTGCACATGGCGATTTTGTACAATAATCAGGATATTAATAGCTCTTCTCATGGAAACAGACTGAAGATCTCAATTTACTTGTACATATATCACACTAGACAAGTGGTTCATCATCGTCACATTCTTACTTTTTAGCCAAATGCAATCGATATCTCAACAAAAAGAAACAGACGTTCAGTACCACACATCTAAACGTATTTTACCATTAAATATACTCTTTCAGAAGCATCTTGGATCCCAAATGCATCTTATGTTTTAAGTTCAGTCTATAACTCAGATTGTGATTGGTAAAACAGGGAATCAGGATTTTTCGTCTTGGATAATTTAGTTCGATCTAAGATACCCAGCAGCTGTTCTATGGTACTGAGAAAGAAACTAACCTTGAAGTCGGTTCGATTTAAGGACATATACATTTCATATTCATTTTGATCTATCTAGTTGCATTAAGAGTATGACTAAACCGATCCATCTGAAAACCACCCGTCTATGTTGACTTAACATTAGAACTTTTTCTTAGCTATTAAACCGCAATATTCGGCAGTATTAAGGCACCTGGATTTCATTTAGTGGTGTATTTATTGCTCTGGTCTTTAGGTGGTCACATTTGGTTGCGTTTTTTTGTGAGGATGATATTAAATAAACTAGTACTGTGAATCTGGTCCCGATAAATCATCAAATTGTCTTATCCTTGTATACACCATATTAGTGGTTTTATGTGGTGCATTTGGAAATATGGTAGCCGAGTCACTATGAACCAACTTGTGCATGACCAATTAGAAGTATGCAAACAGTTAGAATACAAATAGGCATACTATGCTCGTTGTTCACTCTCATCCGTGCACAATGTCTCACCACTAACATGGTTACATTTCACCGGTTACGTAACATTAAAGTTTACTAAAATATATTGTGTAGTCAGTCTTTGCTGATCGTACGATTGTTTAGTTGGTGGTTTGCCGTTTTTAAGATCTACGTCATATATAAAAACTCGACTGAAACTGGAAATGGTGACCCGGATGACCCAGAAGTATATTGCTCAATGTCTTTAGTTCGACTACGTTCAGGGACAGAACGACTGTCTAGTGCACTTTGATCTTTAGTGGATCTTGAACATATCCCATGACTAAGAGTATACACAGATATTAAAAAGCACACTATACTGTACAGACCACGGATACGATTAAATTCGTCGTTTCCAATGCGTTTGGTATGGATCCACAGCTATCACATTCTTTTCAATCTGATTGTGGATGGATAAGTCGAATAGATAACTTAGCGGTTACAGTAACTAAGATTCGAGCTCAGTTCCACCTATGTAACTACATTAACCCTGGGGAAATGTGGTTCAAATTCTCTGCCATGAAAATAAGAATTACTGACTGCCATTTCCAGTTAGCAGTTGTACAAAATCACAAACATTTACTACTTAAATGTAAATATAGGTTTTTGAAGATATGCAAAAACTTCATAAACAGTAAATACAAACGGAATAACACATTACCAAATAAAAATCAGTAAGAATAATTAATAAGTTCGAAGTTCAAAAAACTGTAAATGTCCAGAATTAGTATCACCTAAGTCACAAATTTCGCATTTGTGTGCAAATACATATATGAGTTGAAAATGATCTGTCGAAAGAAACATTACCAGTTCATTTGTATGAATGTATGTCACTTAATGGGCGCACAGCACACACACGGCAAAACTTAATCACATGTATTTATTTTATGTTATATAAAGGAAATGCAAGTGAAACAGTAACAAATGGGAAAAGAAAACTAATTAATGGCTAATCCCATTTTGTGTATTTGACAATTTGATTTTATACTGGTTTAAAATTTGATCCAATTGTTGATTATTTCCAGAGAAGAATGCTGATGTTGCATTCTGTAAGAGCACTAGTTGGTGTTGCATAACACGCAACTAATAACAAACGAAGTGTAAATATGAAAATGAAACAAGTAGATATTGAAAATATCGAACCAATATCATTAATCTTAGTGGTAGATAAATTACATAGAAAATGACTGATGACACCCATTTAAAAATGGAGACTGCTTAAATCAGTTATCGATTACTAATTAGCTTGCAGGTTTGATACCTTACCTTCGTT